GCATTTGAATACAACACAGAAAAAAACAGAACCTCGGTTTGTACGACCTCTCTAACTTTGGGCCAAAAGGGCAACTTGGCGTCCTTGACACACCCTATATCCAGAAATGGCTTGAGCCGACGCTAATGTTGCGGCGTTCACACTGGCCAAAGTTCGACGCTCCGAAGCTAGAAAGCACATTGGAAGGCTAGTTCATACTAACCTTGCTCCAAGCTGTACTCACCTAGAGAATGGCTGTTTTGCGCGTGATGGAGCTTTCGGCCCCATTCAAATTGTGATCGCGCATCATGGCATCAATGCTAAACTTGAAGGGCTTTGATACTGCCACATCTAGCGGATGCAGGAGGTAAAAATTGCGTTTGCTGGGAAAATCGCAAGATATTTCTTAGGCGGCCGCACCGCCTTGCGCACAATCTTGCCATTAATGTGACTGCTAAAAATGTCGTAAACTAGGATCAGGGGTCGCCGCACATCAAAGACACGGCGTCAGAAAAGTGGCGGAGCCACCGAATAAACCCCGCACAGTAAATGACTCCTGCGAAGCAGTCGTGACAGCAGCTCCCGGGACGTTACACTCGTCCAACACGTCGCAGGTGACACGCTCACCTGGTAAAATGTACAGTGGAGGGCAACAAAATCCCGTTGCAGATGCGCACGCGACAATCTTGAGACGGAAGTTGCAATGATAAGACATGGTACACACGCTCCTCGAGCCCTTGACCACGATCACCTTCTTCTGTTAGTTTTTGATGAAACCACGCGTCTCATCCATAATAAAGTCCAGTTTCGGACTGGAACTACGCTCGATGACGTGCTTCACGTGCTCGTTGACGAACCCCCGCAGATTGTCAAATCTCATCTATTTCCTAGGCTTTCTCGAAACGATAAATCTGGATGACGCTTAATTTAGTGTGGTGGAGTGGGTTGTCAAAACAGTTTGACGAGACCCTAACCTATCACTGTGCCGGACTGCCGACTTTTGGAGGGGGTACCACGATGCCGCATGTGGACCTTGTCTCACCTTGTTTACCCGTCGGCTTGGAGGGTTTCATTCTTTGGAGGACTTGGTGATGATTTAGATGTTTTCCTTGATGGAGGTCGACCTGGGAGGGGGTCGTCGAGCGGAAATGGTTCAGTCTGTGTCCAGGTTAGACTGCCACTCAATCAACTTGGTCGAGAGTGGTCTTATAACCAATCGTATCAGGTGCATATGGCGCCTAGCATTAATGTATCTTCTCCCCTATCACTAGTGTGTGGAGACCGCTTCCTACAGCGGGCTTGAGTTTGAGGGGGTACTGCTTTACGAACCCAAAGGCCAATGTACTTCCTGTGGTTCTACTTACGCTAGTGCCTTACTGACAACTGTTTATTCGACGTGTAGGCCAAACAATCCGTGGCCCGGAACAAGCCAGTAGACTTATCAGTTTCTTAGCGCACGACACGTCGTGCTACTTGGATCGAAAATTGAGTAGTCTTTAATGTTATCCTATCCTTTAAACTAATTTAATCTATCCTTGCCTTGCACCTGGGTTCACTCTGATGAGTGGCCAGGAGTTACCATATCTAGATGTTTCAAGTCAATCTATGGGTGACCAGGCCGACCGATGGGTGGCTAGTTTGGCCTACGAGGGACCGAGGCCTACTTTGGGCGACCAGGCCGACCGACGAGTGGTTGATAAAGATTCATATCGGTACCGTTTAAATGGTTTCATTAGTAGATTTGACCCCGTTAGCAGTAACCTTAACCGCTCGACACAGTTGGATTCAACGGCCGCTTCTTACCTATGATCACCAAGTCCCCGGCCTCTTTCTCGGCCTCGAAGTCCCATGTCCGTCCGACTCACCGGCTTCTAAGTTCATCATTTCCAAACACTCGCTTTACCACAGTCGCCCCTTGCTCTTGCTTGACCTTACCGCGGTTCGAGCACTAGCATGTCCTCACCATGCCAGTCCCGTAAGCTCCGTAAGGTCTTGCGATAAATAAGTTGTAATTGTCTAACCTGTGTGCTTGCAGCCATGTCTTCACTAGGATCCAATTAACCATCTGAGGGTCCGGCTCCAACTTCTTCGCCACCACCTGCACCATCCGCAGAGGTCTCTGCCCAGGCGGAAGCAGTCGCAGCACCACCTGTCGTCTCTGGTTCTTCACATTCGTCATTGCTTGTGAACGCAGGATAGGCTGCCTTGACTACGCGGTAGACTTTGTCACTATTGGAGTTGGCTCCAGTCAGTTTTAGTGTGAGTCTCCCCCAGTCGTGACTGCTGTCCGTGCCGCTATCGCTGATGTTGGTTCGGTCACACCGAAGGACCCCGTCGGCGGCCGTCCTCCCATGAGCGCACTAGCCGTTGATGTGGTGGCGTTACCCTGGCGTGTCGAGGCTTGTGAGGATCGATTGGACCTGACACCGCATTCATGCTCCGATGTGAGCGCTTGGAACGGGTGTTAGGTAACGCCAGCGCGCTCGTGGCGCAGCTTCGCGAGAATCTGCAGCATGAGATGGCGCTGACCAACCACTGGCGACAGCAAGTGTACCTTCGACATAGGCGGATGTCTCTTCTTGTGGCAGAGCTCAGCCAATCTGATTTTGCGGGCACCCACTAAGGGGTACTCTGGTCTCGCTCAACGGACGCCACATAACTTGACCACGGGCGATCGACTCCCGTCTCCCGCCATCGGCAAACGGTCTCTGCGGAAGTCCTTTCGTATCTCAGCCCAAACGGGTAGCGGGTGAAGGTGAGCGCGCCGGACGTTCTAATGGCGGGGAAGACGGTTTTCAAGCATTCTAAGATAGCTGCGTCGCTGAACATCCCGACATTTTCCAACGTGAGCCTCAGTTCCAACAGCGAACCGATCGGGCTGTTATGGCAGTATCTCGTTCGTCCCATCGTCGGCCGAAGACTACACCTCTACCTTCTTCTGCGGGCCCGACTCCCATGCCCAAGGCTTCGACCCCTCGGTCTCTCATCAAGATCTTGCTTGGATCGTCCGAGTCCGAGCTGCCATCTCAGAAGGAGGGTGCCACCCAGCGATTCGCAATTCCGTGTCGTTATCAAGCGAGTACCTGCTCCTGCAAGAGGCCATGATTCCGGCCACAACCCAGGCGAGGGTCTCCACCGCCAGAAGAGTGGCGCCTTGGTCGGTCCGTCTTCTAAAAACTTGGTTGCTCGTGACCATGACGGCGGGCTTACTGGCCGATCAATTAAGGTTGCCTTGGCGTCAATTCGGTCCACTGGATGGGAATCTCGCTCGGCCAGTAAAGTGGAATCTTCACTGGTCCTTTCACCCAGAATCAGGAACCTGATGGCCGCGGAACCTTGGTTGTCTACCAAGGTCCCTCTTCCTCCTGTGTCGTTTAAGGTGGTCGTCTGGTTCGCTGACCTGGCTGAAGCATACGCGACTTTTGAGACTGAGCATGCTCAGGCTCTCTATGAGGCTACACACTGCCTCTGGATCTCGAAAGATAGAGCCCGCACAAGCTCCTCCTTCGCCTCGTACTACAACGCCCGGAAGAATTGGCGGAGTAGGGCGTCTTTGGCGTGGCGTGGGATCGTTGGTCAGATCTTCACGGGGATGGTCGCTCATAGATGTGACTCAACATCTTCTTGGACCCTTTCTTGCGGCACTTTCTTCTCCCTAGCCGCATTATTTGTTAATTATCTGGGTGTGACGAGGGATTAGACCCAGTCAACCTGTTGACCGCTCTTCATCTCTCGGACTCTGCGTGGCCATGAATCTCCCAGTACAGACTCACATCTGAGCCCCACGTAGTAACCAAGGTCGCTCGCCTTCCGAAAAAGTTTGTTCCCCTTCGTAGGAGTATTAGTGTAGAACAAAAAAAATTCAATGTTTTACATCCACATTGTCCGCTCGTTGCTCATTAGCCACTCTGCCATATCCTTTTGTCAGCCAGCGTTGCACTACCTCGGCTAACCATGAAAGGTTGTGACCGACTCCAGATAAACCACGGTGTAGCTTAAGATCCACTTAGTCAGTCCGATTGAGTCATGGTCGACTTCTTCATAGCGTTGGTTAGTTTTAAAACTTTGATCGCTCACGGAGGTCATGGCCGCTCCACAGACGACCAGGCTGACCAACGGGTTATCGGTCTCCTTCTCCGCGACTAGTCTTTGTGACTCTGCATCACCTCGAAGCGATTTTAGTTTGCCATTCTGCATTCAAAATATCGTAATTAAGCTCCAGAATTCGAATCCACTTCGTCGACCCATAGGGGGTCCGTGTGACCCTTCCAGCGGATTAAAAACTCGTGCCGTTGGCGACCGTGACGCGTCTTCTTGCTTACACGACTGCTTATAATCTCTTCGACTTTGTATTCTCCTTACCCCTGTTCACGCTTCTAGCACTCCTCTGGCAACAAGCATTCATCAAAGTCGATCCAGTCGGCCTCGTCCACTGTAAACAGGTCACCTGGGCGATCAGGGAACTCCCTGACCAGTTTTAGCTGTGAACGATTGGAAATAATCTGCACTTCTTATCTCTTACTTCCAAACGAGTAGCATATGCGCCGACAAACTCCAAAACTCGAAACGGACCATGCCAGAGGTAAGCCAATGTTCTGGCATACCTTTCCTCCGCACGATCTAGGTAGAGCCACAATTGGAAACCTTGCCGAATCTTGTGACCGAACACTTGTTCATAATGAGTTGGCACCCGGGCTTGACAGGCCGAACGAAAATGCTCGTTCACCTGTTCCGTTGCACGCTAGTAGTGACTCTAAATTACTACCTACATCTTCGAGCTCCCGACCCTTTGCATCTGGTGTTCACCACTGGCAACGTTACTTCCAGGGTGGTTTTAGCGTCCCACCTAGGGACAAATAGAACGGTGTCTCGTTTCGCACCCTATCGTGTGCAGTGTTCAGCGCGAACGTTATCCGTTCAGCGTATTCGTCTTAATATCGCTATGCCACATCTGAGACATGCATATCGATATGTCTTGTCAGGGTTTGGACCATTATTTTCGTGGTGTCGTTCGCTTGGGGTCAGTAAGCCATCGTTGCCCGCTGACGCTGACCCGCCATGCGATTGAACGCTCGAAAGAAGTCCGACATTAAAACGGGTTCCCGGTCATGCCGGATCACCTCGCTGTCCCCAAAACACCGAAAAACACATTTTTCGTACCCTTCGGCTACTATCTGAGCAGCTAGCGAAGCACTTGCCTTGGCCATTGCAGTCTTAGTGAATAAGTCGACCCAAATCAGTAGTTCGGTGTTTCCCGTATGTGACTTGGGCAACGAGGGGATATGATCCATTGCATTGACTTGGAAAGAGTAGGTCGCCTTGACGTTGCCTGGGATGTCCCTTGAAGGGTAGGCCCACTTTTCCCGTCTTGCAATCCACACATAATCCCACATAACGCTGCACACTTCTAAACAAGCCTCTTCAATGGCACTACCAGCGAACCCGATAGTAAATACGGCCGACCACTTGGTGACCGACCTCCAGGCTAGCGTGATAGTGATGTAACACTGAATCTGGAGGGCTTCGGGGATCACCAGTCGGGCGGTCATTTTTCGGTCGCCCTCGTCGGTCTTGAGGACGGGACAGTAGATCAGTAATCCTTCTTCGTTGATCTCATGATCTATGGTCATTTTGCTGGATGAATGTGCTGATTCTGCCGACAAACCACATAAACCCCCTTTCAAATTCGCCTTCAAATCCATTGTCCAGCTCTCCTCCTCTTGAGCCTTCTGAATACGTTCCACTCGAAGATATTATACCACCTCTCCTTGCATCGTTTCTCCGAATATTTTGATGGGTGGCCTTGATCAAGTCACCGCGAGTACTCAAACCGTCATATCCTCGACTTTGAGAACTAACAGCTCTAGCAGTGAAATTATCACTTCCAACCCTGGCCACTCTTCCCACGGTACTGACTCGACCCCTCTTTGTCTGTGTAATGCTTCACTAGCCAGCTGGTCTGCACTCTGGTTCCAATCGCGCTTTACGTGGAGTATCTCGTGGGATGTCCACGACTGAAGATTGCTAAGAGATCTCGCATGTAATGGAGACAGCTCTGACACGTTGAGCTCGATTTCTCCGTGCATTTGCCGGACTACAAGATTGGTATCTCCAGAGATGATTAGTCGCCGACGTTTTAGAGGTTCTAACAACTCAAAAAACAAGCAATATGCCTTCATATTCGGCCTCGTTCACCGACCATGGATACTTCGATATATTTTGAGGCGGCGCTTACTACCGGCCATGTAAGCTGTCTCTAGACGACAGCGCTACAAGCTCCTCCTCCTTTTTTACACGAGCCGATCCATCAAAGCTCAGTACACATAGCGCCTCGTCTTTTCCACAGTAGGCGTGGGTAGATCAATTTTCTGTTTAACCTGATTCTTGGGTGCGATAGCCGATAGGATTGAGTCTACACTCTATCGGGGGGAAGGGGTTATACTGGCTGCTAACGCTCCCAGCACCTGTTCTTCTTCTTTCTTGCACTTCACATTCTCTAATGTCCACTGGTACAAGAGAGCGGCCCAATTTACCAAACGCTCTTGCAATCCAGAGGATTTGACCAACCAGGCCAACGTCGATTGTCTCGTTGATACTTTGAGAGGTCGGGTGACCAGTATCGTAAAACAAGTTTTAAGATCGGAAACAACGCCAACACTCATTTCTTCACGGTACTGTAGTCCAGCTCGTTGGCCTTGAGTGTACGGTTCATGAAGGCTACTGGTATAGATTGGCCTTAATAGTCGTGCACCACGCTTGGAAAATAGTCACCGCTTCTTTTGGTGGGTGGAAATACCGCAAAATAGGCGCTGTACCCATCTTGTTCTTGAACATAGCAAAAGTCACTTAGGCTCGAGACCATTTCTTTTCGTCTTCACCCGTTGGGTGCTGAGTGGCTACCATCTTTTAACTTGCATCACCCCGCGTGGAAGTCCACCTCTTTTAACTCGTATAGGATCAACGCAAAGATAGCATAATCCTCAAAAAACTTCTGTAGTAATTCGACTTCCGAGGAACGACTGCATGGCCTCGAGAGTTGTCGGTAGAGATAGGCCGACTATTGCTTGAAGTTCCTTTAGCTGTGCTTACAATCCTTCTCAGGATACCCGGTTGCCGAGGTAGTCGACTCTTAGACATCCTCACGAACTCTTGACTGCACTAATTGACAAATTCCACTAGTCGCATACGTCCAAAAACCGTTACACCTTGTCGCATAACGTCTCCCAAGATTCAGCAGGTATAACTATGTCATCTATGTACGACCGACGAACCAATCTAGAGGGGCCTGACTCTGTGTTTGGTTCCCCCGACGCAAAAAATCTTGGCTCATCCAATCTGGTCCCTGGAGTTATACGTAAGAACCCGTGTAACGCGTTGTCCAAAAGTCGCGGGTAGATCTGTGGTGCATTTTTAATTCCGAATGGCAGCCGGAGCCATTCGAACAGTCTCAACGGTGTGACAAAGGCTGAAATCAACCTTTTTTCTCTCATTCATGCTGACCACCCAAAAATTACCTGTCACATCGAGAGAGCAGTACCATAACGCACTATCCAAGTCTTCCAGTAGATCCTTAATCAGTGGCATGGGGTAGACTATTAGTTGAGTCAAGTTGTTCACCGACCGGTAGTCAATGAACAACCTGATTTCTACCCCATTCTTCTTCACGATGATCACTATTGGGCTGGCCCGCGGCGAGGTAGATGGTTAAACAATCTTCGCTAACAGTGGACCCTTGATTAGGTCGGCCAAATTTTCTTTGAACTGAGGGAATACCCTTTGCAAGCGTTGTGCAATCGGTCTCGCATTTCCCACTCGAATCGCACATTGCACACGAGCGACTGGTGGCAAGTTGCTGCCTTTTCCCATTAGCAGATGTCGCTGCTTCCATATGCTTTTCCTCAACCGATCCACTTCTTCAGGCATGCTACCATCCTGACAAGAGATCTGTGTGTCCTTCAACTCGATGTCGTTGGGCGAGGGGTCTACTTCTGGTATTACTGCCCATCCTTGGCTGATTTTTGGCCCAGAGTTCTCCGCTCTCAAAAATGTGCACTTGGTCATCGGCTTGTGCTAGGTCCTCGTGTTTCGTTCTTGCTTCACGAAACCGGCTCCATAGACTGAGTGACCGTGGCTTCCATCGGCTACGGCTGGCGGCTTCTAGAGGTTGGGTGACGGAGGTCGTTTGCTCGCCTGTTGGTAATTCCTCCATTGGCAGCTGTTGGGGAGAAACCCCCATCACCGGGTTGATTCTTTTTGGTCGCTGCAGAATGTATAATGGAGTATCATACGGGGGTTTGTCCTCTAATGGCCCCTCTTCCTCCTCCATCGGATCCCACTGATGGTCGTTCTAGTCGGTGGTAGCTGCGAATGCCAAATTCCACCACACAGCTTATCTTCGAGAGTCCACAGTGACAAAACCTAGTTTCCTCGGTATTTGATCCTTCGTTAATAACATGCCAATCCTGGTGTCGTCATGAAACTCTTGAAAAATGTGTGATGACATTGGTCACCTCCAAGAATGGACGTCGGCCCACCCCTCGGATAACCGTAGTGACCCACCGTTCTCCTCTTGTCACCATAGCACACTCTGCTCCGAGGTTGATCCTTTCAGGGTACTATTACATACCCTTTAACAGGCAATTGGGCGAATTTGGCTTATCGTCATGTCGTTCACTCGGCCACCATAAATTGTTCGTCGGCCGGCAATTTGTATACGAACTTCATCTGATACAGAGAGCTCCACCACATCAGGTCTAAGCGGATACTAGCGGGGACCATGAAGTCCATACCCAAAATTGCATCTTGGCCTTCCATCGGTCCGACCCATACCTTAAAGATATACACCAAGTTTCCGTTCAGGGTGATCTTGATACGAGTGCGCCTTTCTGTGGTACATATTGATTCCACAATACCAAAGCATTCTTGTCTTGCAATTTCATCAATCTGGCAACCTATCTTACGAGCTAAGGCGATATCCAAAATGGATATCTCGGCACCAGTATCAAACAAAAAGTTTGCAAGATCATTATTGACTTTTACAGAGGCCTTGGCTTGCTTGAACCACTTTGAAGGGGCATGGTTTTTCCAATAGCCGCTGGATTCGCCTGGTAGTAGTTCCAATTCCATCACTGCATCTCCTCGAGCAAAGCCATTAAGGTCATTAAGATACGCAACATGAACCACAGGTAGCTTCTAATCTTCGATATATTCCCAATCTTCTTAACTGCGGTATCTTCCTTGAACCTCTTTTTCCCTGTGGTACCTATATTTTCTTCAAAGCTCTTCTCCACATGTGTAAAGACATGACAATCAGAATGCTCGGCTCGTACCATTTTCAAACCCAGCGAGCGTTCTAATTTATCATCTCATCCGCATTCTCCGCCTTCTCCGTCAACACCCAGGCGTGCTTGGTCGGGTTGTACCATTGACGGATTAAGTTATAGACATCTGGCACTTTCCAGTCTCGTGGGCCTCTCCACACCCCTTGCACAGAAACAAACAACGATCCATTGGGTGACCCTTCTTCCCATAACTGTCACACGTTAGGCGTTTCCAGCAATTCAAATCGTTATTCTTTCGAGATCCACAGTGAGTGCACTTCTGGTATTGAGCGGACGACGTCGGGCGAGATCCCTGGTCACCTTCAAGATCCCTGGTCACCGACGGTGATGGTTGGCCTTCCGAATAGTTCGGCCTCTTGGGGTCTTCACACCTGCGTTCCTCTTTCCTTCCATCTTCATAAAGTGAATTTGCCTTAAATCACCTTCTTTACTTGAGCCGCCCGAGCTCAAATCGTCAGAACTCAATTCTCGCGCGATTGTCCGAGCTTCATCAACCGACCGGCGGTTTACTTCACTCGGTCGGTCGGGTGGTACGAGTGCCTTTTGTAGAAAGGCACCCGTATTGCTTGATCCGAAGAGTACCTTACCTCGCCGCGCTTTCGTCCTCTTCCTGGCTCTCAGCACGTCTTCCAATTCGTCCACATCCGCCAGATGCAATATGTGAGCTGTTCCGCCAGTCACGGGTCGTTCTAAGTCTCGATGTAGTGCTCGACATGCTCCTTTTGTACCTTGATCGGTCCGTCCTTGATCTTGATCTTCGCCATGAGTCCACTCACATTGATTCGGTACAGGTAGTACACTGGTGGCTCACCTGACCTCTTCCTCGCATGGTAGTGTTGGCGAGAAACTAGCACTCCAAAACCGTAGAGCTGCATCTGGAACTCTTAAAGGAGATCCTTCCAGCTTGTTCAAACCTAGTGACCCAGTTGGCGATACCAGTTCTGAGCTTTTTCAGTTAGTAATCCACCGAAGACAAAACACTTTTCATCGTCGGGCGCTTGATCGCTCTTGAACGCGATTTTCACCGTGGTCACCCAACTGCGGGCTCGGTCCTCGTCTTGATCGCTTCCGTGGAAATCCTTGAGGTCCGATGTAGCTTCAGGTATAATGCGAGGAACCATGTTGGGCATTTTCCTACTGTAGCTGTCGCCATCCTCTCAAGTGGTCCCTCCAAGTCCATGTCGTCTGGGTCTTAGTAGCACGTACCTACTGATTCCTTCTCCACGTCAGTCATAGTATGTTGTCTCGAAGCTTGCGTTCGGATTCTTGGTGCTTGTTAATCCGATACTTCCTGCGCCCTTTGCGCCTTTACGGTCGCCCTACCATCTTGGTATCCTCGTTTTTCCTGGCGTTCCTATAGAAATCGTGCCATCGCTGCGTCAAAACATGTCTGCAAGTTACCTACAGTGTTGGTAGGGTGCGTCCTCTCCAGAATCTTCGTCACGTGGTGGTAGTGACCGTGCTGTACTCCCATTGGGTGAAATTCACCCTTTCAGGCGCTTGGATGTTTAAGTGGACACGTTTCGCCGTTTCGTTGTCATACTGGTTGGTTGCCCCGCCCCTTGCACGAGCTTGGAGCATCGCTGCTCCTGCGGGTCCCAGTGGTATCTGGTCGTACTGGTCAGGAGCTGACGAACTGTGTGACGACAGCTCATCCGCGTCTTGGATATCTGGCGTTAGAGTCGGTGGGGAGGGACTGCGCATCACCCTCGGGTTGTCGAGATGTGGTCGCGCTTGGGGCTGGGCTTCGAAGTCTTGAGGCATCATCTGGCTGTCGCGAGACGGTGCCGTCATAGATTGCGTTGGTTAACGTTGTTGTTTCTGGTGGTGGTCCCAACCAGAATTGCCAGTCGCTTTTGCAACTTCCCTAACATGCTGTGATGCTGTTGAACCCCAAGTCGATCAAAGTGTTTGTTTCGAATCTTCCTGCAGCCATGTTTGCCTCGAGGAGAAAGGTTACCAGCGCAGTGACCGCCTCGGTGACCGTCCCGAGGCGCGGTAGGGGTAACACCGGTCCCCCCAGTCGTTCAAGCAGCTGAATCCCAAGGTTTTTCGCGACAGGGTCGCTTGCCAAGAGTGCGTTCAGCTTTCTTTGGTGGGAGACAATCGTTACTGCATCATCCGACCAGGCTAAAACTTCTGTATGGGCAAGGCCCACCGACTTGGTGTCCGCTGGCGTCTTTTTCTTCGTGTGTTTCGGCTTGGAATTAGCGATCTTAGAGTTCTTTGGTATCGGGGACCATAGCTTTTTAGATTTCGTCGACGGCCGATGTTCCGACTTGGTCGATGGTCCTCAGGTGTCGGGACCCGTCGACTTGGTATCCCCTGGCGCTTTCATCCTGGCCTTCTTCAGTTTGGACTTGACGAACGAAGGGGTTTGTTGTGTCGGTGACCACAGCGTTTAGGTTTTAACCTTCGTCTGTTGATCCCCGGGGACATGATGGGTACCATGACCCAAGCCGTCCCCGAAGAAGATGCATGGACGGTGTTTAGGTTTTCGTTCATAGTTTCAACCTTGAACATATTGACCGGACCCCTCCCAAGGTCCGGTCGGTCATTCTACTCTTGTTTTTGTCTTTTCGGAACACTGGTGGTCGGTCTTACAGGAGTTTCCGGTTCTATCGTGAACTTAACGTCTTCTTCATCTTGGGACTCGCGATGAAATTTCGCGTCTTCCGAAGATCCAGGCACGCGCATCATTGTGGTGGAGTGGGTTGTCAAAACAGTTTGATGAGACCCCAAATGACTCGCTGTGCAGGACTGCTGACTTTTGGAGGGGGTACCTCGATGACGCTTGTGGACCTTGATTCACCTTGTGTATCCGTCGGCTGGCGGGTTTCACTCTTCGGAGTACTTGGTAATAATGTAGACGTCGGCCTTGATGGAGGTCGACCTGGGGGGGGGTCGAGCGGGTATGCTTCGGTCGGGGTCCGATCTAGGCGGCCACTACATCGACTTGGTCGAGAGTGGTCTTATAACCAGTTGTCCCAGGTGCAGGTAGTGCCTGGCCTTTACTTGTCCTAGGTGCAGGTAGTGCCTGGCCTTTACTTGTCCTAGGGATGTTTACCGCTTGACCTTTATGCTTCTTCTCCCTCACCACTAGGGTATGGAGATCGCTTCATATAGCGGACTTGAGTTGGGGGTGCTACTCTACGAACACACAGGCCATTATACTTCCTGGGGTTCTACTTACGCTTGTGCCTTACTGACAAATGTATATTCGACGTGTGGGCCAAACAGATCCGTGGCCCAGAACAGGCCGGTAGACTTACCAGTTTCTTAGCGCACGACACGTCGTGCTACTTAGATCGCAAATTGAGTAGTCTTTAATGTTATCCTATCTTTTAAACTAATTTAATCTATCCTTGCCTTGCACCTGGGTTCACTCTGATGAGTGGATAGGAGCCAACAGACTTTGAGTAGCCAAGTCGACCAATGGTTTTGGATTGTGTCGGCTATAGGGTGGCCAGGTTGGCCTACGAAGGACCGTGGTCCACTTTGGGCGACCAGGCCGACCGATGAGTGGTTGAGAACGAATTATGTCGGTACCGTTCAAATGGTTTCATTGGTAGATTTGACCCTGTTAGCAGTAACCTTAACCGCTCGACACAGTTGGATTTAACGGCCGCTTCTTACCTATGATCACCCAGTCCCCGGCTCCTTCCCCGGCCGCGAGGTCCCATATCTGTCCGACTCACCGACTCTTAAGTCCATAAATTCCGAATACTTGCTTCACCACAAAAGCAGAATACTGACTGTATCGTAAGGAAACCGTATCTTCGCGTCACACTGTCCTTGGCCCGGTATACGTCATTTTCCTTCGCCAGAACAGCCCCGTGAGTGACTGGCAGGCCTTTCGTCTGCATTCCGAACACCCAGTCATGAAAATAACCTCTTAGTTTCTCCTCGCAGAATTGGTGACGTAACAGGCTTTTGTAGTGTCACTCCGTTCTTTAGCAATCTTGTTCGATGCCATATCGTTTGCTCCGGAACGCCAGGATACTCGTTTAAAACGGGAATGGTCTTGGCGCCTACGGCACGCGCGCGCGAAGCGGCGTCTAGATCTTCTGCGGCATGATTCTTTCGGTTTGCCGACGATATAGTGGCCTTCGTGTTATCCCCTCTACTGCGTTTCACGTCTGAACCAAAAAATGCGTCACAAATCGTCTCGGCAACAAACTGGATAATCACCGCGACGTTTAAGTACTGTATTTTGAGACTCAAGCTACAAACCGTCATTAACAGATATATGGATTAGCAATAATCCGGGTAATCGCCAAGAAAATCTAACGCGAAGTTACAACTGTAACATATTTGCTAAGCGACAATACTGTACCCTGTCGGGCACTGATTGAGGATACCTATCATTATGAAGTATTCACAGAGGAGACGGTGTTCTTGTGTGGTACACAAGAAGAACTGCGATGATTAATAGTCAATTAGGTAAAATAAGTTTACTTACAAAGACTTATAAAAGATTCAAAATGCTATGAATCAGTAAATACATGAAGTTTCCTTTTAAAAAGCTTTGTATACGTTTCTATTTAGGACATCTCTGGTCGCATTTCTAATGCGCCGAGTTTAAGCTGAGAACTTTTGGTCAATACTGCCACGTAATTCCTTGGATTCGTTACTCCCCTGAACCAGAACAAGAAGTTAGAGATCTTGTTCATACACTTCGAGTTAAGTCCCACTAAGTCTGTTTTACTTAAGACCCCATTAGTTATTACCCGCTGAATTCACATACTAAATGACTCAACGAGTCTTAAATTAATTATCGGACCAAGTAGTTAGAGATTTATGCCGCGCGGTCCTTCAGATCACCCTGGGGTGAACTGCGAGTACTCTGACTCAGTTTGAACTCCTTACAGGACCCGCACCCCTCATTACACTATGGGGCTTTTCGGCTTGTAGGGCCTCCGGACGGCACCGGCCACCCATTGGTAGTTGCTCGTCTACATCATTAGCCTATCTCCGGCGCCCTGTAATCGAACCCCCTCCGGGTATCGATCCAGGTACCGACCAAGTAGTTAGAGTAGCTGCGCTACAGTACAGATGTGGCATGTATACGGTGAGGTAGAGTAGAAAGGTTCCCTCATGCCGGTGCATACAACGTTCGTTACAAGATCAAAAATCCTTCCTGACACATGGCTAGCAACTCGGATGAATTCTAACGTTAGTGTAAAAATTTTATAGCTAATTTGAAGAAATACTGTATGATGTCCACACCATTTAAATCTATATCGGAGCTTCATACTGCTGCAATGTACTGAAAAAGAAGAAAAAGTGCAGGGCGCTGTGTAGCAGAGCTACTTAGCGCTCCTTAGCAGAGGAAGTCTTCGACTCAAATAGTCTCTTAGCTATAACAACTGAAACGACGTACAGTCGTTCAAGCGCACAAGCTTAACAATCCCGGTTCCAAAAGGATTACGATTCGCAGAATCACACACTAACTAGTCACTGCTAGTTACACAAGAGTAAACGCTTTCATAAGGCTAACACTCTAACAACACGCTATGCCTTGACAAGGCACTAGCGACCAACGATTCAAAAGGGGAACTGAACTTTATTTATTCTTTGACTACAGTAATTAAACCCTTAAACCTTGTCTGACTGACTTCTACATTGCGATCCTACGACAGAAGTTTCATCCCCTATCCCTACCCGATAAGGTGCGGTATTACCGTAAGTACGTGGTACCAATACTGTACCACTCAGATCCACTGATCTTTGCTCGGTGTGGACACACAGCATAACCAGTTCTAGCAACCGCTGTAAATCTGTGACACCCCTTCCCCTCTAAACTGTAAACACCCCTGTGTCGACGATTTTCTACTTCGTTTTAGATCGATCAAAGCTTTGGTCCTTGACCATCGTGTTCACAACACATTTCAAGATCACTGAGAAAAGCCTACGTTAAATACACTGGAAGAATTTATCGAAGAGGGCATAATCGACTATGAGAGTGATATCGCCGCGTCGAGCATTAACGATTATCATCCAGCTACGCCACAGGCGCGCGACACTGCGTGCACCGTGCCTTTTCTATTCTTGGAACGTGAGGAGGTAACTTTACCACTTGCACAGCGTCAGACGTCTACCCTGCATTGGGTATGTTGTATGTCACACTGCATGACGACCAACCTCAAAATTTTCAGTCGATCGATGAATAAAGGCGTCAAGCACAATGTGTAGCCACAGCGCGTGCTCACAGTGGGTGACATATCAAACAATCGATTGTATGTGAACGCACGCGCCAGACTGCCGGGCAGTTACTAGCAACTTGGATCACGAGACCCCAGGCTAGCACAGCCAAAGCACTAGCGGAGGGGGAGTCTCTCATAGCGAGATTCTTGGGAGTTAAGCGTGTCATCACTCAAGAGGACTTTGCAAGGCTAACCTGCAAGCACAAGTGCATCAGTGTCCAAAAAGCGTACAGTACCCGTCGTTCTCTTCCCTGGTGATACAGAGGCGGAAATGAAGTCGTCTTCACGCTTTGCTCACCGAGCTCGTCGTCTACCAAGCCTATGGAATTTTCAAGAGAGCGCTTCATTTGCCGGCGTTCGGCTCGAACAAAAATGCGCTTTGATATCGCAAAGCAAAAGGCCACCCGCGATCGTTATATCGCACCATCTATGCTTCCATAGCTGCAGTTTTGCACATTAGTGCACCTGCTGCAGCTGCAGCCTCGTCCCTTCCTGCACCGACTTGTGGGAAGCAGTACGGGTCTACCGACCATGAAGACGACGTTAAATGCGTCGTCTTCAGAATACGGACAATCCTGCCGCAGTGGC